TCGAAAATCAGCATTTACAGATCTGCATTCAAATACAAACAGCAGTGACAAAAATTCACAACTCTCAGCCAGCAACTACACCTGACATAGACCTAAGCAGATAATTTTTTTTGTTCCGTCACAATTTGATTTTATCAAAAATAAAAAAATTAAACTGAAATTCATTTTGTCTTAAATATATCTTTCAATAAAAGATACTTTAAATGTATATGTAATGAAAGTCAACTTAATTATGCAATGGCTTCCAAAATTCACTTGGTAGAAATAAATCTAAAGCACTGAAAATTCAACTTAATTATGTAATGGCCACATTTCCAGATAAGACATAAATACCCCACCACTACACACAAGGAATATTTTTGTATTTTCTCTGGTTTTGAGAGGAGTCATGAAGATTCAAATTATTCTCCAGTCAAAATAACTTGTTCTTTTTTTATATAAATCAAATAAAATTTACCAAATATTTTATTAGCATCATTTTGTGTGTGTGTGTGTGTGTGTGTGTGTGTGTATGTATGTATGTATCAGCAAAACAGTGTGGATGACAATATATGCTCCTGAAAAATTTATTTCAGTTGAGCTCTCTGGGGAGGAAGTGTAAGTTTGCATACAGTGACTATTACTGCTAATAATGCAAGACTCTTCGGTGAAGTGAAATAAGTTCTCTCAGTCACTGTGTGTTTATCTAAAAATGAATACGCTTAAATACACCTTCATTCCTGCCGTGCACCAATGGCTTAGGGGTAGAATCTCTGACTGACGCCAATTCAGCCAGATTTTGATCCCACCTAGAGGCAACCTGACGTTTAGCCACACTGATGAGCTGTGATACAGAGACAATGTCTTTGGGTGATTATATATATATATATATATATATATATATATATATATATATAAACAAATGCAGAAAAAAAGGAAAACTTTTTTATCACCATATTTTGTTCTCTTATGGACTTTACCAAGAGAAATATGAGGATTTTATTTGGCAATGAGTATTTATAAACAGAAGTAAAAATGTCATTAGGTTTTCAAAGTTTTTAAATTTAATAATGCTTATATATATTCTTCAGGCAAACTGTGAAAGTCAAGGAAAATTATGAAAGACACTAAGTAACTATGTAATATTTATTTAAACAAAGCAAGTTCAGTTGACCATTGATGACAATTCCAGAAACTATAAACAATTTTTTTTTTGCTATCGTCTGCCAGCTGCAATGATGGAGAAAGCATTACCTCAAACCATCGCCAGTGAGACACGATGCAAAAGCCACTCCGTTTCATGAGGCTCGTCCCTTAATCGTGACGCAATCGTGCCATTCCTCCGAAGGATTAGTTTAATTTGAGAAATTGATTTACATTTTTTCTAATTTTAAATAATAGGTTTTGAATTTAACAGTTTTCTATTAATTTTTTAAATTTTTATGGTCATGTATGTTGGCCCTGGGAAGGGATATTTCTTTTAAGAAAGGAGATATTCAAAAAAAAATTGGAGTACAGATTTATATTTTAGTAAGATTTAATAGCAGCACTCAAGTTGGTTGTTTTGTTTTACGGCATATCAACCTCAGTGGATCATTTAATGCCAACAAAATTTTTGAAATAGATTCATATATTATTTTAAAAAATGTATTTCTGGTAATATTTTTTTTCAAAAATATATTGCTGGTAATAGTTTCTTTTCTTCAAAAATTCATTTCTGGTATTAATTTTTTTACAAAGTATTTCTGGTATTACACCTATTTTTACACTTTTATAATACTTTTTACCTCAGTTTCGGGGTTAACTCTTTGCCCATGGCTGGGACCCTAACAGGTGCTACCACCCCGGGTCAGGGTGGACCTGCAAACACCAGCAATTAAGAGGTGGTTCCACACTCCTCAAAAACTCCTGATCAGAGGCCTTGCTGTTGGACACAATTTATCATCTTACCCTGGACACAAATGTAGTTTATTGTCATACATAGGACAGAGCAGTACTCAAGAATATTTTATCTAAGTGCATGTGTGTGTGTATATATATATATATGTATATATATATATATATATAAATAACGTCATCCACAGACGGACTGTTTCGCAGCTCATCAGTGTGTCTAGACATCCGGTTGCCTCTAGCCAGGATCAAAACCCGACTGAATTGGTGTCAGTCGGAGATTCTAACCATTAAGCCATCAGCGCACGGTAGGGATGAAAGTGAATTTTTAGCGTATTTATTTTTAGAAAAACGCCCAGTGACTCAATTCGCATTTGCGAAGAGTCTCGCTATATAGCTATAATAGTCATTGTTTACCAACCCACACCTCGTCCCCAGAGAGCTCAACTGAAAATATATATATATATATATATATATATATATATATATATATATATATAGGTAATGAAAGGTTTTGGTAATCCGTGGATAATTCCAAAGAGGATGTAATCCAGAGTGATCAATGTAACAACAGAGCAAATATTAATTAAATAAGAAAGAGATTAGTTAGGTTCCATGACTATAATTTATTTTACCAGAAAATATATTTTTCCTGTTTCATCAGAATTAGAGATGTGACCTGATGAAACAGGAAAATATATTTTCTAGGGAAATAAATTATAGTCATGGAACCTTAAGGTTGTCTCTTTCTTAATTATTTAATATATATATGATTATTTTTTAAAAATATGATTCCATCGCTACATAAGACTTCTCATGTTTCAAAAACAAAAGCTAAAAAAAAAAACAGCTCTATTTCATCCTTAAGTGAATTGGCTCTACTTGTATTGAGCACTGTTTTTAAAATAAAAACAAAATACTAAAGAACTTTGGATTATTAACTAAGGGTTCTTTCCTATTTTTCTATATTTGCACACACACACATATATATATATATATATATATATATATATATATATATATATATATATATATTTATTGAAAAATATGATTCCAACATGCTACATAGGAGTTCTCATGTTTCAAAACAAGAGCCAAAAACTTCAGTATAATTATTAGAATTAAATTGAATTAAATTACTAAGCTCTGTTCCATCTTGAAGCGAAATTTTTTTTTGGAATAACTTATTTCTGAAATTTACATGTTTTATAAGCATATTCATTATTAAAATCAAAATTTCTATGGTAACGGCTAGAGCAACCGTCCACAGAAAAAGGTGCGAAAAGTGTTAATAATTTGTATCAATATCTCGGTTACATTCACAGATATCAGGTCAGGGTAAAGTTGGAGTGTCTAAATTTAAAGCGGAAAGACATCGCATAGTCTGGTTAAGTGTCTATGGAGATTTATTTATTTTTTTATTTTATTTTTATTCTGAAAGGGTTTTGTGCATATACAAACTGTCATAAATCGCTAACATTTGTTTTTTGACGCCTTCATAAAGGGTTATCATTTATGGTAGGGCATTTAAACTATTTATTATGACTATGGATTTTAAAAATTATTATATTGTTTGTTTTTATGCTAATTATTCAATGCAAAAATTTGATGATGTCGGCAAAAAAACGTTAACTCATGTCTATTGTTTAATAGATTTTTATTATTTAGAAACTTAATAATGTGTAGTTTTTCATGTAGGCATAAAGGGCATGGGTCATCCCAAGTTTTACAAGTTCTCACATATATATATTATATATATATTAATGTGGATAAATTAAATAACTAGACATTAACTTGCACTTTAGATATAGGTATATATATCTATATTAGTACAACCAGGTGTGATATAGATGACTGCATATATATATATGAATATACCAATGCACACATGCATTTAATACAAATGCGCATTAAAGATGTCAGTGTAAGATGAATATCAATAAATTGGTTCCCAATTTATTGATTACCTCATCCTTGGCCTCTTTGCCAATCAGAGCAAAAAGCCAAACTATCAAGAAAAAATTAGGTAACTGGACAGAAATCAAATGCGTGTGTGTGTGTGTGTGTATTTTTTTCTTCAGTAAATAATGTGTGTGGGGCTTTTATCTTGATCAGGTTCATTGATTTTATAACAGATCAACAGTTCTTGTATTATTTAATACAAAATTAGGTCTTTTTTTTTCTATTATATTTGAATCTATAAGTAATATACGAAGTTTAGAGATAGGTAAATAACGGTTGGTCGAGTCTATAATCAGTTACTTAGATCAGAGATAAGTAAATATTGGCCATTTATATTCGGGTCTGTAAATATTGACTTGGTAGGTGGACCCTTTTGGTGGGATTTTACCCTTCTGCAGGAGATACAACAGTCAGCCTATTTTAAGCTGAACAGATGCTGATATATACAGGTATATATCTACATACATATGTTTAAATAGGAGTTTGTCTCAGCTGAGAGCAAAACCTGTGAGGTGCTCCTTAGAGACATGCTGTTTGCTGATGCTGCAGCACTGGAAGCACATTCTGAAGAGTGACACATGGACAATTTTTCAAAAGCCTGCCAAAAGTTCACTGTGTTAGAAAACCAACATGATGGACCAAGGCATTGAACAGCATCCCACCATCAAAAACAACAACTACAACAATAATGCCTATTTCAAGACCAAGTTGAAGCAAAACCATCAATTAATTGACAAAGGTATACGAGTGCTTCACAGGAAAGGCTTCTATGAATAAGATTGAAGTAAAGAAACTGATTAATTAAATGATTCATTTTGCTTGGCAACTAATTTTGTCTATATGTAGATAAATATTTTATTTTTATAGATTATTAAAATGACTAAGGGAAGTAATCACTTACAAACTTACTAACTTTAGTTGATTTACTTCCCTTGCCACTACAGCTAGAACAAGAAATATATAATGCACATTGATAATTATTATATGATTTGATATCTATATAGGCTAATGGCAAGAAGGTTCAAGCTCTAGTGTCATACAATCAATGTTTTATCTAATGTATTTGTTTTCACTGAAATGACATATTTGAGAGCATACACACGCATCTTTGTATATTCACATAAAAATGAACAAGAGTTTGAAGTTTGAAAATTGTGTGTATATATCTACATACAAAGATATGTTTCTCTATCTGTATGTGTAAGCGAAAAAGAGAATGAGAGAGGAGAACAGACCAGAGAGACAGAGAGAGAAATACAATTAGAAAAGAACAGACCTGGAGAGAGGGAGGGGGAATTACAATGAGAGAAGAACAGACCTGAAAAGCGAGAGAAAAAGATAGAAATACAATGAGAGAGAACAGATGAAAGCAGAGAGAGACACAGAAATGAGAGAGGAGAACATACTTGAGAGAGAGAGAGAGAAATACAATTAGAAAAAGAACAGACCTGGAGAGAGGGAGGGGAATTACAATGAGAGAAGAACAGACCTGAAAAGCGAGAGAAAAAGATAGAAATACAATGAGAGAGAACAGATGTGAAAGCGAGAGAGAGACAGAAATATGAGAGAGGAGAACATACTTGAGAGAGAGAGAGAGACAGAGAGAGAAATACAATTAGAAAAGAACAGACCTGGAGAGAGGGAGGGGGAATTACAATGAGAGAAGAACAGACCTGAAAAGCGAGAGAAAAGATAGAAATACAATGAGAGAGAACAGATGAAAGAGAGAGACAGAAATACGAGAGAGGAGAACATACTTGAGAGAGAGAGAGAGAAATACAATTAGAAAAGAACAGACCTGGAGAGAGGGAGGGGGAATTACAATGAGAGAAGAACAGACCTGAAAAGCGAGAGAAAAAGATAGAAATACAATGAGAGAGAACAGATGTGAAAGCGAGAGAGACAGAAATACGAGAGAGGAGAACATACTTGAGAGAGAGAGAGAGAGAAATACAATTAGAAAAGAGCAGACCCTGAGAGAGGGAGGGGGAATTACAATGGGAAATAAGAGCAGACCTGAAAAGCAAGAGAGACAGATATGCAGAAATACAATGAGAGAGAAGAGACCTGAGAGAGAGAGAGAGAGAGAATTTAAAAAAAAAAAAAAAAAGACCTGGAAAGAGTGAGGGTAATGCAATAAGAGAGGAGAATAGACCTGAGAGAGATACAATTAGAAAAGATAAGAGCTGGATAGAGGGGGCTACAATGTGAAGGAATACACCTGAAGAGAGAGAGAGAGAGAGAGTAATACAATGTGAAAAAAGTACACACAAAAAAGAGAGAGTGGTATAAAAGAAGACAGACCCTGGAAGACAGATGACAAGGCACAGACTATATGTGTATGTGTGTGTTTGTTTGTTTAAGCCCCAAATAAACCAGATAAATATACTAGCAATAATAATTGAAGAATAATAATTAATCCTTACTTTTTGTAATAATTAAAATGTGCAAATAATTACAAAAACAATTCGACAAACAAGTAACTTAGTCTAATGAAGAGGTCACTGAAGGTCACATTTAAGTGAATTCTGCTAAAAACTTGGCTTGTGAGAGAATGAATTTTAAAGAAGATTTTTCACTGCACATCTATCAGCCATTCAAGATTTACTTAAAAATAGATTTTTAAACAAATCATTTACCAACAGAAGTTAATTACAATATAGAAAGTTACTTTAATTAACAATGGATATATTTCTTATTACTGTAAACATTGTATTTAGTTTTTAGCATGCCTGAGTAGTTATTCATTTTTAAAAAAAAGTTTAAATTACCCTAATTCCCCATGTATCATACGCATTTTTTCTAAAAAATAATAAACAAAATTAGGGGTGCGTATTATACACAGCTACAAAAAAAATCTTTAAAAAATTGCAGTTTCATAGGTCAATTTCAGTTGCGAAATGACTACTCACCACAAACATATGACACTAACATTTGGCGATTGTGATCCCATAAGGACATCAAATACAATCATATGTACCTAATGATACTTACAAATGAAATAAGAATTACCATAAAACTAAATTAGAATAATATTATTCTATGTTTAAAACCATTTTTTTTAAGTAAGAGTAGGAAACACTGACCATAATGAAATAGGAGAGGTACAATTTATAGGGTTTGATTACTAAACAAGGGGTGCATATTATGCATGAGTAGAAGCATTTTCCCACAATTTCAGCACAATTTTAGGGGTGTGTATTATGGATGAAGGCATATTATACATAGGGAACTGTAGTAATATCTATCAACAGAAAGAACAAAAATTTCATAAAAGAAAAATACATCTCTCAAAAAGAATTAAACCTGTATTCCATTTAAGCTGGAAAACCATTTTCAAGCTTGTCAGGCTTTACCAGTAAGCTACATGAAGTCATCACAGCAAGGTTGCATTACACTAAGAAATTTACATCTCACTTTGAATCTCTCAAAGTCTATATATGATATCTTTATTTTCATATTCCTAAGAGTAATTTATAAACAATGAATATATCACTTTATCTGACATCATTTGTTATCACAATCTGTCTAAAGAGAATACAAGTTTGGCCAAGAGGCACATTTTCTTTTATAAGACTTAATTACTATGTTCACTAGTAAGAAAAAGAATAAAAACAGGGATGACTACTAAAAGATGTCTTGCCACCAATAATGCTGGTTTAAAAA